TTATGTAGGTTGTCAGATATCTTGGTAAGAGTAGAAGGCTCATGGGTAATTTTGGAGTATGAAGAAATAGGCAAGTGTTCGGTGATTATTCGCCCTTTTTTTCTTCTTTTTTTTGTCCAAGACTAGGATTGGAACTCGGTATCTGATGCTTGCTTTCACTTATTGGCTGGTGTTCTGTGACCTGAGCCATGCCTCCAAGCCCTGGGTGAGCATTGAGGACAGTCAGTGAGACCAATGAGAAGGGAATTCATCAAAACCAAGTAAAGGGGTAGTCATGTTGCTTTGGATGCCCATATGAGCTTGGAGACCAGGAGTTTGTAAAGGTCTTTAGGCCTATACTTTTGTGTTCTCACCTTTAGCAACAGTGGTGTAAGGGCAGAGAAAGCAAATCTTGCCATGCATTCAGTGTAGCAATTTTGTTAAGCAACTATAGCAGAAGGACAGGGCTGGAGTGAGATGAATGTGTCAATAAAAAGCCCGGTTTAGGGGCTGGGAAATGTGACAGTGGTAGAGTGCTTGCCTAGGATGCATTAAGCCCTGGGTTCGATTCCTTAGTACTTCCAGTCTAGCTTTTTGCTAGTTATTTTGGAGATGAAGTCTTTTAGACTTCTTCACAGGCTGGCTCAAACCAGTATTTTCTGGATCTTTTTTTTGGCAGGGGTGTGTGGTGGTGGTGGTGGGGAAATCAGTCATGGGGCTTGAACTCAGGACCTGGGTACTATCCCTGAGCTTTTTCACTCATAGCTAGCACTCTTAGCACTTATAGCTACAGCACTACTTCTGGGGTGGTGGCTTATTGGAGGTAAGAGTCTCATAGACTTTTCTGCCCAGGCTGGCTTCGAACCTTGATCCTCAGATCTCAGCCTCTTAAGTAGCTAGGGTTACATACATGAGCCACCAGGGCCTGGCTAGAATTCCCTTGTTTTTATGCCTGAAGCTATTTCATGTTATGGATGGTCCCATTTTCTTTGTTCCAGTTAACAATGAATGGACATTTGTGGCCCTTCTACCTTTCAGCTATTGTAAATGGCTATTATTTGTCCTTCACTTGCTGGATCTCGGTTCCCTGAACTACTTCCTATTGCCAAACATGTCAAGCTAGTTTCTGCTGTGGATGAGGATTTTGTAAGTCCAGTAGAATATGGGCAGTGATGCTCCCGATGGGGGTGAGGGCCCCTTACAGTATTACAGGCACCAGGCTAGGCACTGGGGACACAAAGATGACTTCGACAAAACAAGTCACCCATTTCAAACCAAATCTTGGTGTCTCATGGGCTGACTGGGTTGGTCTGATCTGTGGACATCTTCAGAGACCCTGAGAGCCAGAGGCAGCAGCAACAAGATGGGTACAAGGTATCACTAGAGATTTTGGGGGTGGGGGAGGGAAGCTTAAGAAAAAAATGTCCTTTCCCCCTTCTGTTGCCTTTTGGAAAGCAGAAAATGAAGCTTAGAAAGTTATGTAATGGACCCAAAAATGAAGCAGTATCATGATCAGATGATTCACACCAGTCAATCATCTAAAAATGATTTGAGCCTAGAGGAGGATATGTCACCATCTTCACCCTGAATTATTCTAGAACATTCTAAGGATCTTTGCCACCAAGTGGTCCTTTAATACTGTTACCTTTCAGAACAGTGTTGGCTCATAGAAGTCACGGGAAGAAAGAGAAGCCTATATTTTTAGATTTTTTTTTTCCTTTGGAGCTCCAAAGCTATGCCACACCTGGATTTCTTCTCTCTGCGTGGCTCTTGATAACTGGGATGTTATTCTTTTGTAAATGCTGTTTTCCAGCCAGGCTTTGGTGGCTCACGCCTGTAATCCTAGCTACCCAAGGAGGCTGAGATCTGAGGATCAAGGTTCAAAGCCAGCCTGGCCAGGAAAGTCAGTGAGACTCTTATCTCCAGTCAACCTAAATGCCAGAAGTAGAATGTGGCTCAAGTGGTAGAGTACCAGCCTTAAGTGAAAGAGCTAAGGGACAGCAACTAGGCCTTGAGTTCAAGTCCTAATACTGGCAACCACCACTCCCCTTCCCCCCTCCCCCTCCCCAAAGCTGTTTTCCCTTATCTACTAGGAGGCTGTTTTATGGAAGTCTCATATAAGAGCACCGGTAGAGCTGTAGCTGAGCTGACCTAGTTAGAATGGAAAGAGACTGTGTAAGGGGTGACAAGGGTAGGCCTGGGCAGAGACTAGAGCAGGGAAGAGGGAAGTTTCTCAAAGTGGCTCAAGACTGAGAGGAGAAGAGAGCTGAATATTGGGTGTGAAGCCTTGATGCCAGGTGGCCAGTCTGGGTTACACAATAAAGGTCCTGTCTCCAAAAGAAGGGAAGAGAATGACAAAAGAGAGTCTGATCAAAACACATTGTTTTCATTATGTGGACATGTTACCCCCTTATACAACTGGTTGATGCAATTTTTTAAAAAAGCAGAATAAGAAACAAAAAAGCAGGGAGCTAGTGACTCATGCCTGAAATCCTAGCTACCCAGGAGGCTGAGATCTGAGGATCGTGATTCAAAGCCAGCCTCTGCAGGAAAATCCACGAGACTCTTAGCACCAGTTAACCACCAGAAAACTGGAAGTGGCGCTATGGCTCAAAGTGGTAGAGTGCTAACTTTGAGCTGCGGCCCCAAGTTCAATCCCCATGACAACCAAAAAAAAAAAAAGATTGAGTGTAGTGATGCGCTCTTTTTTTTGGGGGTGGGGTGAGGGGAGGGTCCGGTCGTGGGGCCTGAACTCTGGGCCTGGGCGCTGTCCCTAAGCTCTTCAGCTCAAGGCTAGTACTCTACCACTTAAGCCACAGTGCCACTTCCGGCTTTTTTTTCCTTCTTATGTGGTGCTGAGGAATGGAACCCAGGGCCTCATGCATGCAAGGCAAGCGCTGTACCACTGAGCCACCTTCCCAGCCCAGTATGCACTCTTATAATTCATCTTGACATTAAGATCCCAGGTGGAGATGGTTTCAGGCTAACCCCAGCCAAAGAATGAGACTTTATGGGAATAGGGAACTAAAACTAAAATGTATAGGGATGTGGATCACATGGTAGACTTCCTTCATATTAAAATGAAGAGCCTTGGGTTCAAACTCCAGTACTGCTAAAATAATAATAATAATAATAATAAAAAAGAATTGTTGGGAATTAGAATTAGAAAAGTATGTGGCTCTTAGGGGAACTGAGTGAGGTGTTCTAGTCAACCCAGTAAGAATGAGCAAAAAGATTTCAGTATTCTGAGAAGATTCTCCTAGGTAGGCTAAGGAGAGATGTGTACCCAGCCCTCATCCTAGTCATGGTGATGGAGGAAGCAGACAGGCACCTGGTAGGGAAGAAAATTAGCTCAGTCACTGATCCACTAGTGGACTTGCATCAATTCAGGGCCCGTTGGGGATAGAGAAGGACCCTGTCCAAGCCCTGTCTTCCAGGATACAGTTCATTTGAGAGAACAATAACCATGGAGAAGCAAGAGGTAGTAGTCCAATACTCTGTGTGTGTGTGTGTGCGTGCGTGTGCGTGTGCGTGTGTGTGCGTGCGCGCTTTCTTTTTGTGCCAGTCCTGGGGCTTGAACTCAGGACCTGAACTATGCTCCTTTTTCATTTTTTTAAACATTTTTAAATTATTATTATCTTTAAGTAGTTGTACAAAGAAGTTCCCATTCTACAAAACAGTATATGAGTACAAGGTGACAACATTGTCACCCATCACTCCTAACCTATCCTTTCTCTCACTTTCTTTTTCTTTCTTTCTTTTTTTTTTTTTTTTAATTGAGATTAGGTGGGGCTGGGAAGGTGGCTCAGTGGTAGAGCGCTTGCCTTGCATGCCTGAGGCCCTGGGTTCGATTCCTCAGCACCACACAAGCAAAAAGAAAAAATGCCGGAAGTGGTGCTGTGGCTCAAGTGGTAGAGCGCCAGCCTTGAGCTGAAGAGCTGAGGGACAGCGCCCAGGCCTAGAGTTCAGGCCCCCCCCCAAAGAAAATTGAGATTAGGTGATTACATAAATTCACATATTTCACAGTATTGTGGAATAGTGATAATTAAGTCACAAACACATTTTAACCTTCACAAGGCAAATTGTCTTTATCATGGTCCATAAAGTTTGTGAATTCTATGAGCTTTGACAATATAATTATTTCTTCCACATCAGGTGATGTTTACATTTCTTTCTTTTTGCTTAGTGTAGACTGTTCCTATTATCCCTGTCATTCCTCCCTTCCCATCGCTGTCTTAGGGTTGCTTAGTTTTTTTCTTCTATGTCTAGTGCAGCTGATGCTCCTTTTCATTTAAGTCTAGTACTCTACCACTTGAGCCATAGCTCCACTTCCTGCTTTTTGGTGTTTCATTGGAAATGAGCCTCATGGACTTTCCTGCCTAGGTTGACTTCAAACTGTGATCCTTGGATCTCAGCCTCCTGAGTAGCTGGGATTATAGGTGTGAGCCACTGACGCCCAGCTCAATACCATATTTTTATGCTCTTGGGTCATGAAGGTGTTCCTGGACTGTAGGCAGGAGGGAGGCATCAAACTGAGCCCTGGGCAGTGAGAGGGAAGGGTTGGGATAAGCAGGAAGAAATGAGCCTTCCAGAGTGAAGGTGAACACATAGGAATTAATTGAGCTCATGTAGGGACCAAGAAGATTGCCAGGCTAACGGACCATGAAGAGGAGATGGAGAAAACCAATTGGATGAGGAAGACTCTTATTGCAGAAGGCACTTCACATTTCTAAAAGAGACTATGTTGTCAGGCACTGGTGTAATCTTAGCTACTCAGGAAGCTGAGATGTGAGGATCACGGTTCAAAGCCAGCCTGGGCGGGAAAGTGTGTGAGACTTCTAACTCCAATTTTTAAAAAGCCAAAATTGGAACTGTGGCTCAAGAGTTTCAAAAGCAGCTCAGAGACAGCGCCCAGACCCTGAGTTCAATTCCTGGCAACAAATTACTAAATAAATTAAAAGAGACTACATTATGTCAAAATCCAAGTGCTCGGGCTTCACTCATTTCTCTCTCCCCTGTAGCTACAAGCCCATTGTTGAATTCATTGATGCACAATTTGAGGCCTACCTGCAGGAAGAGTTAAAGATCCGAAGAGTGCTGCACACCTACCATGACTCCCGAATCCACGCGTGCTTGTACTTCATCGCCCCCACAGGTCATTCACTGAAGTCCCTGGATCTAGTGACAATGAAGAAGCTGGACAGTAAGGTCTGGAAGTGGGGCAAAAGCTGGGGCTGGAGCAGGGGCAGGTGGGAGGCTGGGAAAACTGGATTCACTCATATTGATCTCTTGTATTTACTAGGTACCTGATTGCTGACCAGACTTTGTGGCTTCCTCATCCTCTTTCCTTGTCCCTCTATAAAGATGGCATTAACTAACTCATTCACTTTGCCATCTCGTTTCCCAGCACTGGAGATGGGTTTGCCCTAAGCCTTCATAGAAATAGGGTTGCAACCAGGTGTAGGTGGTTCATGCCTGCGTGAAATTCTAGCTGTTCAGGAAGCTGAGATGTGAGGATAGAAGCTAGCCTGGGCAGGAAGGTCCCTGAGACTCTTATCTCCAGTTAACTGGAAAAATGTGAGATGTGGAGCTGTGGCTCAAGTGGCAGAGCACTAGTTTTGAGCAAAAAAAGCTCAGAGGCAATGCCTAGGCCTAGTTCAAGCTTCAAGACTGGCAAACAAAAAACAAAAAAAAACAAAGTAGTATGCTTGCATACAAGATAACTCTCCAGGTATAACAGTACAGGTTTTTCTTTCTTTTTCTGTCCCAGTATTAATCAGCACATGGTAGAATCAGATATGCAGACTTGACTTTGACACTTTTTATGGTTAGTTTTTGGCTTAGCAGGCAACGTTTCTTAAACCTTCATTTTATGCCATGACCGAGCTAAGTATCTCATGGAGTATTTGACTAAATCCTTTTGCCCCTATGAGGTAACTATTGCAGTTACCACCAGTTAAAGAAGAGAAGACTGAGTCTCTGAGAGGTTGTGGCTGCTTTGTTGTCAAATAGCTACTGATGGGTTCTAGATTCGAACCCCAATCTGACACTGTGTTATTTTGGGTCCATATTTGAGAAACATAGCTGTGGAAATCGGATATTTTCTGCTTTCATAGAAAAATGCAAATACGATGTATAAATTAGACAAGAATTCTTTGTGTTAAAGGATTATTTGCAGTACACTTGAACTGACTACAGGATTATTTAAAAAGCTTAATGACCAGTACCTTTACTTTTAACATTTAACATGTGCTAGGCACTGTAAGTACTTTATATGTGTTATTTTTTTTTTTTTTTTGTTCCGGTCATGGGGCCTGAACTCTGGGCCTGGGCACTGTCCCTCAGCTCTTCAGCTCAAGGCTAGCACTATACCACTTGAGCCACAGCGCCACTTCCAGCTTTTTTTTTTTTGCTTTTTGCTTATGTGGTGCTGAGGAATTGAACCCAGGGCCTCTGGCATGTAAGGCATGCGCTCTGCCACTGAGCCACCTTCCCAGCCCCAATATATATGTGTTATTTTTTAAATAAAAATTATTTAAGCAGTACTTGGATTTGAACTCGGGGCCTGGTGATTGCCAGTAGGCACTCTACCACTCGTATATGCACCCACAGCCCTGATATGTGTCATTTTATTTCGCTCTTCCAATTAATCCAGTGTGGTAGATACTGTTATTACTCCATTTTATTTTAATTCATTGATTAATTTAGTGCCAATACTGGGGCTTGAACTTGTGGCTAGGTTAGTCTTCTCTAGTTTTTTTGATCAAGGCTGACAATCTACCACTTGTACCATACCTCCACTTTGCAGCTTTTTTTGGCAATTAATTGGAGATAAGGATTTGCGGACTTTTCTGCTCAGACTGGCTTTGACTAGAGATCCTCAGATCTCAGCCTCCTGAGTAGCTATGGTTATAGGTGTGAGCCACCAGTTCCTTGTAATATTTTATTTTGCATATGAGAAAAAAATGGAGAGGCAAGTAGTTTGCTTAAGGACAGACAGCTTGCAATAATGGGTCTGAGATTTGGATCTAACTCTGACTGCAAGGATTTTTATTTTCCAAAAATGCTTTTATTTGGGTACAAGCAATACTGGTATTTTAACTCAGGGCCTTGCACTTGCTAGCTAAGTGCTCTACCACTTGAGTCATACCTCAGCCCTTTATTTTTACAAAATTCTAGTTTATATGCAGTCATGTAGTAGCATAGTCACTAAAAGAAAAACTGGATGTCAGCTATAACAAGAATTGGAGCAATTGAGCTCACTGCTCATGAATAATAGGCTGCTGTTGAAATGTCGCCATGCCCAGCATGCCCCTGTATCAGGCAGCAGTGAGCGAGTGGCTGGCAGCTTGCTGGGTGGGCTGTGCTAACTAAGCAGCTTTTCACATGTTTATAGTATGAGTTGGCACTTTGCAAAAGGTGACAAGAAGAATTGGATTTTCCCCCTTGTTACACATTGCCAAGGGCACCACCCTCTTCCCCCCTCCACAAAGATATCAAGGCAAGTACCTCCAAGGTCTAGATTTTATTTGCCCAGTACCTGAATCCCTGTGTGGCACAAGACTTGAGGCTTTTTTTTTTTTTTTGGTCTTAGGGCTTGAACTCTGTCCCTCAGCTCAAGGCGAGGGCTCTACCACTTGAGCCACAGCGCCACTTCTAGTTTTCTGGTGGTTTATTGAAGATAAGAGTCTCACAGACTTTCTTACCTGGGCTGGCTTCAAACTGTGGTTCTCAGATCTCAGCCTCCTAAGTAGCGACGATTACAGGCGTGAGCCACCAGTGCCCAGCTTTAGAGGCATTTCTAAGTCAAAGTGCAGGGGAGGCAGAACTTCTCTTCCAGGTCCATAGCTCTTTAGGCCCCCCCCTTCAGAGCCTAGGGCCTGGGCACCATAAGTGCCACCCCATTGAGACATGGTGGCAGGCAAGACTGTATCCTCCTTGGGGACTTGAGCTTAGGTGTTGTTCTGTCTCCCAAAGCCATGGCCAGGTCAAATTTCTTTAACCTTGTCTCTCACTCTCTTTTTTTTTTTTTTGTCTTTTCTTTTTTGGTACTGGGGATTGAACCCAAGCACTTAGTCACTGACCTACATCCCAGTCCCCCCGCCCCCCTTTGTCCTTTCTTGAAGAGACTTGAGGAATTAGGGTTCAGATGGGTTACACTTGCAAGCACATTAGGACTTTCTCCTACTGTCTGAAATTGGAAATGTCTGCTTTCTTTACCTGGAAATGAATCATCAAATTCAAACAATAACTGGATTTTTTTGTTTGTTTTTTGATTTTTGGCCAGTCAAGGGCTTGAACTCGTGGCTTGGGCACTGTCTCTGAGCTCTTTTTGCTCAAGGCTAGCACTCTACCTCTTTGAGCCGCAGTGCCCTTTCCCCAACAGTAGACCTCTTAGGTCAAATTGCTAACAGAGTCTTTGACCAATGAGACTGCTAGCAACAAGGGAGCCAGGTGTGTTTCCTCCCTGAGTACTGCCTGGCCTCCCTTCCTCCCATTTCCACTAGCACCCATGTCATACATTGCTGGGGCTTAGCCTGGCCTGAACCTATTGGGACCATTTACTGTTAGCAAGGAGTGACCTCATCTCCTATTTCAACTACAAATGCCTTGCTATCACCTTTCTGCTTTGAATCACCCTAGCAATGACTTTGATAGTAAGCTATCACAGCTCTTCAACTTGGATCTGAACTGCTAGACAGCTCCAGTAAGTCTGTGGACTTAGGAAGAAGGCTTGGGTTTGAATCTTAGTTCTGTAAATTAGCTGTCCTATGGCCTTGGACAGGTTATGTCACCTCTCTGCAGTTCAATTTCTCATTGGGAAAACAACAGTAATAATATGCATCCTTGGAGGGTTATTTTCAGGATTAATTTTGTTAGACCCATACAAAATAGGTTGGTACCCAGCACATAAGTGCTTACAGTTGTTTATCATATTGTTCGGTTACAGAGGTGGCCAATCCCAGGCCAATAGGCAGAACTGCCCATGGGTGTAGTGTTTAGTGTATCAATGTATATGGAGCATTTCCTCTTAGCTGGAAGTAAGTGGACTCTCAAGGTCATGCTTCCAAGGTCATGCAGTTACATTACCAACAATGATCCCACTTTGCTTCTCCTTTCCCTAGGTGAACATCATCCCCATCATTGCCAAATCAGATGCCATTTCTAAGAGTGAACTCACAAAGTTCAAAATCAAAATCACCAGTGAACTTGTCAGCAACGGAGTCCAGATCTATCAGTTCCCCACAGATGATGAGTCGGTGGCTGAGATCAATGGAACTATGAATGTGAGTGGGGAGCACAGAGATTCATCTTTCTAATCATTGCTCTCTGTTATTATTTTACAATAATAAATATTTTATAATATTAATAAATAATATTGCCTACTGAGTGGCAAGCATCGGTGAAAGAAAATTCAGAACCCAAGTAGCCTCTCTTGCCAGTGTGGTCAGTGCAAAGTCCCAGAGAGCCAGATCCCGAGGGACAGAGAAAGGATGACTCCAAGTGGTGCTCAGAGCAAGGAATTCAGGCCTGTTTTCCCACCCAATCTCCTCCATACTGCTCTGGTCTAAGCCAGGCAGCCTCCATAGGATTATAGAGGAAAGACATAGAGCCTTTCTCTGATCCATACACTGTTGGGACAGAAAGAAAATGTTGGCTGGCTTTGGTTGATTAAAAGGTGATCTGTCCTCAGATCATCTAGCCCTCTGGGGGTGGGGTGGGGGGAGGAGGAATGAGGTATAGAGCCTCCAGTTTTGCGGGTGACTAAAGAAATGTTGCTTTTATTTTATTTTTTTGCAAATCTTGGGGCTTGAACTCAGGGCCTGGGCTGTCCCCGAGCTTCTCTGTGCTCAAGGCTAGCACTCTTACCACCTTCGACAGCTCCACTTCTGGCTTTTTCTGAGTAGTTTATTGGAGATGAGTCTCACGGACTTTTCCTGTCCAGGCTGGCTTTGAATTGCAATCCTCAGATCTCGGCTTCTTGAGTAGCTAGGATTACAGGCAAGAGCCACTGGCACCCAGCGAGATGTTGCTTTTAAATATTAGGGTTCTGCTTTGCTTTATTATTAAGTGTGAATGAATTAAATAAGCCCTGAGTCCTTCCTCTTTTCTTTCCTCCCCCACATCCCCTAGTAGAGGAGTGAGTAATAAAAAAAAGGCAGAGAATCAAACATCTCCTCATGGTTCTTTACAATGTGTTGATGGTGTTGCTGCAAATGCTTCAATGTTGTGATTTCAAGGAGACAGTTAATAGCTTTCAGAAAGCCTCTGCTTCGGGAACAAATTTCTTTTTGCTTTATTGAAAGACATCACATTTTCCTAATGACATAATGCCTAGGGATCGCCAAACTCAGGAAAGCTTTGTAATAAAAGCCATTTTTAGAAAACTTTTCCTGCTGCCGTTGCCCTCTAAGTTATCATTACAGCATCAGCTGCCACCTCCTATGAATCGGCCAACAAATTAGCATAGCAGGGTAGCAAGTCATTGTCTCGCCTGACTTCCTGCCCCTTGTTCTGCCCAGGATAGGATTGTTATTAGAAGTTCCCTTATCATCTTCAACAAATTTGGTTCCAGGGTAAAGCTATATGGATGTGATAGGTGGATCTATGTCCTCTGTGACCTGCTGAGCACATAGACAAATTCAGAGATAAGTACTTGTCCCTCTCCCACAGTCAGGGCATTTGGATAGAGACTAAAATTCCTTTTCTTTTTCTGTTTTTGTCAACCCTGGGGCTGGGCACTGTCCCCCTGCTTCTTCGTGCTTAAGGTTAGCGCTCTACCACTTGAACCACAGCGTCACTTCTGGCTTTTTCTGAGTAGTTTATTGGAGATAAGAGTCTCACAGACTTTCCTGCCCAAGACTGGCTTTGAGCCGAGATCCTCAGATCTTAGCTTCCTGAGTAGTTAGGATTAGAGGCGTGAGTCACCAATGCCTGGCCTAAGTTCATTTATGATGAAAAAAAGTGAGAAAACCTCACTGTCTGGGTGTCCCTGGCACTGGTGTGTGGAAGCATCTAGTTGCCTATGCTGGTCAGTCCCCACAGAGAGCTTGCAAACTCCTCATTCCCTAAGTCACCAAGTAGCTTTCAGCCTCGTGCTTTTTTTTTTTTTTTTAAGAACAAATAAGGTGGAGGGTGTTGGGAAGGAGGAAAAGTTGGAGAAAAATGAAGGAGGGGTAACAATGTTCAACAAGAAATGTACTCATTACCTTACGTATGTAACTGTAACCCCTCTGTACATGACCTTGACAGTTAAAAAAAAAAAAAAAGAACAAGTAAGGGCTGGGTGCCAGTGGCTCATGCCTGTAATCCTAGCTACTCCGGAGGCTCAACTCTGAGGATCGAGGTTGAAAGCCAGCCCAGGCAGGAAAGTCCTGAACTCTTATTTCCAATAAATCCCCAGAAAACCAGGAGTGGCTCAGAATAGTAAGGCACTAGCCTTGAATGAAAAAAAAAAAAGCTCAGGGACAGCACCCAGGCCCTGAGTGCAAGTTCCATGATCGACAGGGGGAAAAAAAGAACAAATAAGGGCTATGATTTCTCAGCAATCTCAAGATGTAAAAGCAAACCACATTTCGCCACATTGTGGATTAGAAGTGACAGTCATTTTGAGCTGTATTCTCCACTCAGTTCAAGTGTCTTGCTTTAGCCTTAGGGTAGGTTCAACCTTAAGGTTGGCCCTCTTGTATCCTTATACAATTGAACCTGCCTGTGCTTTGGTCATGAACTTCCTAGCTTCCAGGATTGCAGAAACTGTATTTCCATTCTTTATGGATTGTCCAGCCTCAAGTATTTGGTTTTAGTAATACAAACTGGACTAAGACAGGTGGTGAATGTGCCAAGAGGCTCAGGAGTGGCTTGAGATTGTCTGTTGTGGAGCTCTCTGTGGCTGGAAGATGTGACATGTAGGGGAACACCTTACCAGCAGTGTGGATGACAGTCACAAGGCTCCTTTTAGCAGCACTGCTTCACAACTATCAGAGTTTCCTCCCTGGGGCCCCATGTACAAAATAGCACTTGTCAGTCTCCTATAGGCACCTGAAGAAAATGAAGAAAAAGCCTGCTATCCAATTCGGGTCGTATGGATAGGATCTGTGAGCATGTTTGGGGAATTAGCATTTTCCTGCCCTATCTGACTCCATTCTGGTTGCTATAGCCATCTGTCTCTCAAGCAGCAGGATACACAGAGGCTCAGAGCATGGTTCCCAGGATTTTCGCCTATCATGGTTGGCTGATTTCCAGCAGATGCTGTTTAGCCAGAAGGCAGAGCATAAACCACCCTAGGTGAATGGGGGAGGCTGGCTGCCAATATGTAATGGCCTCAGTACTTTCTGCAAAGAGCTGGACATGGGACGTTGGGACCTGGGTAAAGTATTTAACCTCTCAGATCCCAATTCCCTCAGCTCATGCAGGAGGTTTATATTCATGGATATCTAAGGTTGGTGTGCGAATCATTCCGTTGGGAGCACTTGGAAATGATCTGCTTGCATATACTTATCAGAACTTGCTTCTGCCACTTGCAAAAGAATGTGCCATGACACGCCATGCTGTGGGAGGGCTTCAGAGCCCATGGATTTCCATTTGGTGGGGGCTGTGTATTTGAGAACAGGGGAGGGAGCTAGAGGAATCAAATGACAGCAATTTGAGGAAATGGAGAAACAAGTAATATTGTCATTCTGATGGACAGTATCTCTCCAAAGTAAAAATAACAGGCCCAAGGGAAGACTGACATTTCCTGTGCCTTTATTTTCTTCTTGCAGTTTCCCCCTTCTTTCTTCTTGCGCCCAGAGAAGTGCCTCCCACTTCACACGCCTTCCTTCCTCCTCCATCACTTACAGCTCAGAGCCCAGGATGAGAGCAGAGGATATAAGGCGCTGCTTTCTCTTTCTCGCTTCCTCCCTCAGTCTAGCCCTCTGCAGCTGCTTCTCTTTGGCTGTGTGTGTGTGTGTGTGTGTGTGTGTGTGTGTGTGTGTGTGTGTGTGTGTGTGTGTGTGTGTGTGTGTGTGTGTGTGTGTGTGTGGCACACAAAGCTTTGGGCCTTCTGCAGAGGTTTCCCCAGAAAATGTTTGCAGGGAATTTGATGCTCTTGAAGCTTCTAGAGTCCCCGAGTAGGAATGAACTGTGCCCATCTGACCTCTTAAAAAGCTAACTGGCACAGGCAGGAGATGTTCAAGCATTTGAGTAACATTTTTAGGGAGTCAGTCTTCCCCAAATGCTCTGTGGTTACGTGCCCACTCCTTTGTTGATCATTTCTCTCCTAGCAATGATGAAAATCTCTCTACCTCCAGCCCACACCCAATGTCCACATCTGTAATTCCCTCTTCCTCTCTTTCCTGTGTCCCTAATTGCAGTGACACAGTACAGTAAGGGAAGGGCTGCCTGAGAGGGATAGTTAACAGAGTAGAAAGGAAGAGCAACTTCAACTGCTTCCTGAGCCCTTTCAAGAATTTATAGTTATCCTAACACTGAGTGCCTGATGAGAACACGTGTTTTGCTACACCGAATAATATTTTGGGGCCAGGCCCTAGTGGCTCATGCTTGTAATCCTAGTTGCTCAGGAGGCTGAGATCTGAGGATCACAGTTCAAATGCAGCCCAGGCAGGAAAGTCCGTGAAATTCTTACCTCCAATTATCCATCAGAAAGCTGGAAGTAGAGCTATGGCTCAAGTGGTAAGAGAGCTAGCCTTGAGCCTAAAAGCTCAGGGACAGCACATTGGCCCTGAGTTCTAGCCCCAGGACCAGCATTAAAAAAAAAAAAGAATATTCTTAGAATCCGGACCTAAAAAAGAATGGAAAATGATTGGCTCTGAGATCAGTATGCAGCTAAAGCCTTTAAGCAACAGATTGGCTGGGCTTTCTAGAACTGAACTTCCTTTTATAAACTGGTTTTGCACAAACCAATTTTCCTTTCCCTCTTCCTTCCACATGATTAGGAGTGTTTGTCTTGACTGCTGCTTGAAAGTCAAATGGGATCAAGAAGGAGTGGGCTTGGAAATTAGAGAGACTCAGAGTCCACATCTAGCTCTGCTGTTTCTACTGTATACCTCCTGACAAGTCATTTAACTCTTCTGGGCCTCAGTTTTCTCATCTATACAATGCATTGGTAGCATATATACTATAAAATGAGGATTATGGGCTGGGAATGTGGCTGAGTGGTAGAGTGCTTGGCTAACATGCATGAAGCCCTGGGTTCCATTCCTCAGTACCACATACACAGAAAAAGCCAGAAGTGGCATTGTGGCTCAAGTTGTAGAGTGCTAGACTTGAGCAAAAGAAGCTCAAGAAGAGTGCCTAGGCCCTGAGTTCAAGCATCAGGACTAGTCAAAAAAAAAAAAGAGGATTATAAGATTTGGAAGATTGGGGCTGGGAAGGTGGCTCAGTGGTAGAGCGCTTGCCTTGCATGCATGAGGCCCTGGGTTCGATTCCCCACACCACATAAGCAAAAAGGAAAAAAGCGGAAGTGGCACTGTGGCTCAAGTGGTAGAGCACTAGCCTTGAGCTGAAGAGCTGAGGGACAGTGCCCAGGCCCAGAGTTCAGACCCCACGACCAGACCCCCCCCCCAAAAAAAAGATAAGGCCAAACTCAATATTTTCTTTTGCATGAGGAATCTAAACCTAAAATAAGTAGTAATAATAGATTGAAGATTGAGATAAGCCAGGTGCTGGTGGCTCATACTTATAATCCTAGTTACTCACGAGGTTGAGATATGAGGTTTGAAGCCTGCTGAGGCAGAAAAGTCTGTGACAGTCCATCTCCAGTTAGCTAGCAAAAATGCTGGACTGGAGACATGGCTCAAGTAAAACACCAGCCATGAGCGAGCAAAAGCTGTGTTAGTACAAGGCCCTGTTTCAAGCACTGGTACTAGTATATATACCTGCCTTAAAAAAAAAAAAATCAATGGTGACTAGGAAAAAAAAGAAAAAAATCAATGATATGGGAGGAATATGATAAAAAATATATTTCAGGAAGTGGCACTGTGGCTCAAATGGTAAAGCGTTTGCCTTGAGCTGAAGAGCTCAGGGACAGTGCCCAGACCCAGAGTTCAAGCCTCACGAAATGTAATGATGAACCCCTCACATTGTGTAACTAATATATGCTAATCAAAATGTAGGGGAAATATGTAATGGGGTAATGTAATATAAAGCACCTAGTACACAGGGCTGCTGTGAATGTTTTGTTTTGATTTTTGTTTTGTTTTGTTTTGTTGCTGTTTTTTTGGGGGGGGTGGGGGGGGGTCGGTCCTGGGACCTGAACTCAGGGCTTGGGCACTATCTCTGAGCTCACTTTGCTCAAGGCAAGTACTCTACCACTTTGAGCCACAGCTTCTCTTCTGGTTTTCTGGTGGTTTATTGGAGGTAAGAGTCTCATGGACTTTCCTGCCCAGATGGCTTTCATTTGTAATTCTTAGATCTGTCTCCTGAGTAGCTAGTATTACAGATGTAAGCTACCAGAATCGGGCTGCTGCTGTGAATTTTAAAGCTGCAAACAGTGCTCATGGTATCTATTCTGGTACTGTCTTTGTTTTCCCATAAAGTTGATGGCTTCCTGTTTGTATTCCTTCAGCCCTTGAGCCTCATGGTCCAACTCTGACCCACTCTAGTATCATTGTGGCCATGTCTCCCAGCACATTGTACTCTCCAGGGGCAGACTGCTCTATCAACATGTATTTATGAATCCCAGTCCATAGTTGGAAGTCAGTAAGTATTTATACAATGGATCAGTAAGCCAGTGAGTGAAAATATCTGAGACTGTGGCCCATTTCTGTAAGCTGGCTATGAAAGCTCTCTCCAGGGGCTGGGAAGGTGGCTCAGTGGTAGAGCGCTTGCCTTGCATGCTTGAGGCCCTGGGTTCGATTCCCCAGCAGCACATAAGCAAAAAGAAAAAAGCCGGAAGTGGTGCTGTAGCTCAAGTGGTAGAGCGCTAGCCTTGAGCTGAAGAGCTGAGGGACAGCGCCCAGGCCCAGAGTTCAGGCCCACTACCGGACCCAAAAACAAAAACAAAAAAAAAAAGAAAGCTCTCTCCAATAATCAGTCACCCAGGTGCCTATGGCTCATGCCTGTAATCCTAGCTACTTAGGAGACTGAGATCTAAGGATCTCAGTTTGAAGCCAGCCTGGACAGGAAAGTCTGTGAGACTCTTATCTCCAGTCAACTGCCCTAAAAGCCAAAGTGGAGCTGTGACTCAAGTGGTAGAATGATAGCCTTGAGCAAAAAATGCTCATGGAAAGTACCCAGACCTTAAGTTCAAGCCCCACGACTGGTACAAAAGATAAAATAAACTTCCCACAATCTTATCTCCCCTTTTCTTTATGCCTGTAGCATCACCCTTCAGAGTATTTATTAAGCACCTCCTATGTGCCAGACACACTGGTTACATACTGTCATGTATGATTGTAGGTATGTAATTTGGGCTGTTCCAGTGGGCAAGGCAGTGTGGCCTGCACTTCTTTATCTCCCTTGCAGCACATAAGCAATACGGAAGCCAATACAATCATGGGCATGTGGCTGCAGAGTTTGTGTCTTGCCCTTTAGGCACAAGGAATCAGTGTGAGCTTAGGAAAGGATAAGAATGGGGACATTGTAGCTCAAGTCAGCCTTGTGGTCTCAGGATGTGTCTGTTCTTGGGGCTCTCAGAAGGTGCTACCCCCTTACCTTTTCTGTACACATCTAAGTCTTCCTGCTCACCGGCATTACAGAGGCTCTTCCAGTCCCAGCCATTATGACTAGTAAATAGCTTGTCAATACAGCTAGCAGCTTATATTTTATCTACTTAGTGTCTTTGTTTCCTATGTGTTGGGCTATGTCCTTGTTACCTTCTCATGGGTTTGGGAGGAGCAGAGGCTGGGCATAGGCCTGACTCCTCTTTTAGTCAATGCCTCTGGGGTGATGGGGCCAAGAGCTACATTGCAGCGGAGTGGCCTGAAGCCTTTCCTCTAGAGGTCTAAGCAGTCTGTTTGCCTTCCATTGCAGGCTCACTTGCCATTCGCTGTCATTGGCAGCACAGAAGAACTGAAGATAGGCAATAAGATGATGAAAGCCCGTCAGTATCCTTGGGGGACGGTGCAGGGTGAGTCTCCAGCAGAAGGACTACGTTCGGGTAGCCCCTTCTGTCTGTTTCTGCTTGTCCTTAGTTACTAAGTCCCTAACTTGTCCGTAGACTCTGCTTACTCAGCTTGGGTCTCTTAACAGCCATAGGAGTCACTAGCAGGCAAACTCTGGCCTCATGCCTATGTTCTCTGATGGGAACATGCTCCCTTTGTCTCAATGGAGAAAGCCCTTTTAGAAACATAATCAAATGTCTGTGTGCTTGTTAGAAATAGCTTGGAATACTGGAGTGTCATGGAATAAAGACACCAACTCAAAAGAAACTTAGTAAGGCAAAGTTTACTTCTGCAGAAGGGTGCGCTCTGTCATCTAAGTCTAGCAAGCAAGCACACAGAGCAGGCAGGGTGCTCCCTTTTTTGTTGTTGTTGTTGTTGTTGGTTGTGGGGCTTGAACTTTGGGCCTGGGCATTATCCTTGAGATCTTCAGCTCAAGGCAAGCACTCTACCACTTGAGCCACAGCACCACTTCTGGTTTTCTGGTGGTTAATTGGAGATCAGAGTCTCACAGGTGTTCCTACCGGACTGGCTTTGAACTGTGATCCTCAGATCTCAGCCTCCTGAGTAGCTAGGATTACAGGCATGAGCCAGCGGCGCCCGGTGATGCTCCCATTTTATCCCTAACCCAGCAGGTCCTGCCCCTCTGCTCAACATTGTCTGAGCTCCAAAAGGATGCAGCTTAATTAACACAATGTAACTAAAACTCAAAGAGCTTCTAACAGGATGTCTTAAAGTGCTCAGGAAAAGGACATATGTGACTAAATTGTTCTTTTTTTTTTTTTTTTTTGTCGGTCGTGGGGTTTGAACTCTGGGCTTGGGCGTTGTCCCTCAGCTCTTCAGCTCAAGGCGAGCGCTCTACCACTTCAGCTATAGCGCCACTTCCGGTTTTCTGGTGGTTTATTGGAAATAGGAGTCTCATGGTCTCTCCTGCCCGGGCTGGCTTTGAACCACGATCCTCAGATCTCAGCCTCCTGAGTAGCTAGGATTACAGGCGTGAGCCACCAGCGCCCGGCTAACTAAATTGATCTTAACAGGGACCAAGCGACCTGACCAATGCAGGAATCCTTCAGAAAAACATTCTCTCAGGAAGATAGAAAAGACAATTTTTCTCACACTACTGTTGGCTCACACCTGTAACCCTAGCTGCATAGGAGGCTGAAATCTGAAGATTGCTGTTGAAAGCCAACTGGGACAGGAAAGTCTATGTCTGTTATCTGCAAATTAACCAGGGAAAAGAAAAAAAAACAAAAACAGAAGTAGAACTGTGGCCCAAAGTGGTAGAGTGCTAGCCTTGAGTATAAAAGCTAAGAGAGAGACAGTCCCTAGGCCCCGAATTTGAGCCCAGGACTGGAGAGAGAGAGAGAGAGAGAGAGAGAGAGAGAGAGAGAGAGAGAGAGGAAAAAAACAGGAAAAAAAATAAGATGGACTTGGATCAATTGAGAAAGGATGTGCAGGAAAGGAAGGATACTTGCGTGAGGATGCCAGGACATGTACAGAATATTCACAGTAGTGTGTTTGTAATGACAAATTATTAGAAACAACCAGATAGGCACAAAGAAAACTAAGTAAACTGAAATATTCATGTAGTAGGATATTACATAGCAGTGAAAATTAATGAACTAAAGTTACATTGCCATGAATAAATGTCAGAAATATAATGTGGAGCTAAACATACTACAGAAAAATGAATACTATAGAATTCCATTTCTATGAATTTCAGAATTAATAAGATAATTAGTTTAGGAGTTTATACAAGAGTGATAAAACTATAAAAGAAACTGAATGGCCCACAGGTGTGGCTCATGCCTAGCAACACAGGAAACTGAGATCTGAGGATCATGGTTTGAAGCCAACCTGGGCAGAAAAAAACCTGTGAAAAAAGTCTGCGCGCGCGCGCACACACACACACACACACACACACACACATATTAAAAAAAGAAAGAAGAGCTGGGTACCAGTGGCTCACACCTTGTAATCCTAGCTACTCAGGAGGTTGAGATCAGAGAATCACGGTTCAAAGCCAGCCTGGGCAGGAAAGTGCATGAGACTCATCTTCAGTTAACCACCAGAAAAACTAGAAGTGATGCTGTGGCTCAAAGTAGTAGAACACTAGCCTTGAGTAAAGTGAGTTCAGGGACTGTGCCCAGCTCTTGAGTTCAAGCCTCACAACTAACCACAAACAAAAAAGAAAAGAAAGGGGCTGGGAAGGTGGCTCAGTGGTAGAGCGCTTGCCTTGCATGCATGAGGCCCTGGGTTCGATTCCTCAGCACCACATAAGCAAAAAGAAAAAAGCCGGAAGTGGTGCTATGGCTCAAGTGGTAGAACGCTAGCCTTGAGCTGAAGAGCTGAGGAACCGCGCCCAAGCCCAGAGTTCAGGCCCCACGACTGGACCCCCCCTCCCCCCCCCCAAAAAAAAAAAAGAAAAGAAAAAAGAAAATGAATGATTAGCCCAACGTCAGGATACTGGTTAAGTTTCATTGCTGTGGAGACGAGGGATGAAGAGAGGTGTGTGGGATTAGAAAAAGGAGGCAAGGACTTTCCAAGTGGTGGCAGTTCTGCCTCTGCTTTTGTCATTTTTGCAATGTATTCTGTTTGTTTATTTGTATCTGTTCTTCCATTAAAGTTTTAAGGTCCTGAGTGTAACAATATTCGGACTGCGGTTCTGAAATCCAAGTGCCCCATATAGTACTATGGAAATACTTATGGAATATGTGTGAGGCACTGTTGTCTGCAAAATGGCTTAGGGCAGACCCTCCTATGAGCCTCTGATGAATGGAATGAAATTTGGGTTGAGCCACAATGAATATCCTGGATTTTGTTTTTGTTTTTTTGTCATGGGGCTTGAATTTGTGTCCTGGGCTCTTTTGCTCAAGGCTAGCACTCTACTACTTGAAAGGCATAGCTCCACTTCTGGCTTTTTGCTGGTTAATTGGCGATAAGTGTATCGATGACTTCCCTATCCAGGTTGGCTTTGAACTGTGACCCTCAGATCTCAACCACTTGAGTAGCTAGGATTACAAGAACTGAGCCATCAGTGCTCAGGCTGGCATTACAGTTTGATCTCTTCTATTTTGTAACATTTGGTTTTTTTCTTTGATAGAAGAATCAAAGTAGGAGGTACATTTGCAGGCTGTGTATTACTCAGATTGCAAGGCAGTGTCACTGTTAAGATTTGCCTCTCATCTTGTCTGTTTTTGCTTCTGCTGCCCTTCCTTTTCAATATACTTGCAACTCCCCAACCCATCCCTATGCAGTTGAAAATGAGGCCCACTGCGACTTTGTGAAGCTGCGGGAGATGCTGATTCGGGTTAACATGGAGGATCTGCGGGAACAGACCCACACTCGGCACTATGAGCTGTACCGCCGCTGTAAGCTGGAGGAGATGGGCTTCAAGGACACCGATCCTGACAGCAAACCCTTCAGGTACCATTCCCACCAGGCCAGGCCAGGCCAGCTCAGCTCATCCCACCCAAGTGTTATGGAAGCCTTTCCCTTGAGAGAAATCACAGGGGAGGCAACACTTGGGTGCTAGCAAGGAGGGCAAGGTGACTTCTTCTTGTCCACTTTTTTTTTTTCTTTTTGGTCTGTCATGGTGCTTGAACTCTGGGCCTGGGTGCTGCCCCTCAGCTCTTCAGCTCCAGACAAGCACTCTACCACTTGAGCCAAAGTGCCACTTTCAGTTTTCTGGTGGTTAATTGGAGGTAAGAGTCTCACAGACTTTCCTGCCCCGTCTGGCCTTGAACCATGATCCTCAGATAGCAGCCTCCTGAGTAACTAGGATTGCAGGCGTGAGCTTCTTCTTGTCCACTTTTGCTTGTCCATTCCTTCTCTGTTTTATCCATGTGCTAGGCAAGCTGAGGCCCTGATTTAGAAGAATGGAGGAATGGAGGAGACCCAGAACAGCAGCTCCAATCAGCTGCATTGGAGGGAAGCCCTGAGTTTTGTGGCCTTGTTCCTTAGGGTGACAGAAACGACTGTCTCCTGCCCCATTTTCTTTATTTCTTTTTTTTCCTATATATATATATTTTTTTATTGTAAAGATACTGTACAGAGGGGGTTACAGTTACATGAGTAAGGTAATGAGTACATTTCCTATGGAGCATTGTTACCTCCTTCTTTGTTTTTCCCCTACCATCCCTTCCCTCCCCACCTCCCCAACTCCTCCCCCTCTTCCCCCATTCCATGCCTGAAGTTCTAAAGTTCGTTTTGAACACAGTATCTTGTACATCTCATTGTTACAATGGGTCAACCTGTATCCTTATGTAAGCATTTTGGTTTTTTTCCCTTCCCCTCCCCAAATTAGAAAAATGTATATAAAAGATGCAGGGCACTGGAATCAAATACAGTGAAAACAAGAGTTATACCGTGGGGGATGAACTTACCAAAGAAACAAAAAAAATCACATAGTACATTATAAATACGTTAAAAATAATAGCAAGAATGAGAAAAACCACTTGTGTCCCTATCTTGGGGTTCATTTCACTTAAATCATCTTATATGGTCATATGTACATAGCTTTTGACCTTTTCTGCTTGTCCTAGACATAAACTAGTTATTGCAAATAAGGGAAACCATGGGACCTATGTTTCTTTTCTCTGCCCCACTTTCTTTGTCAGGCTCCTGCTGCTCAGGCAGGTTTCTAGACTGTTCTTCCACACACACATTCCTCCCTATTCTGACAGCCAGAAAGGAGAACTTAGGGGTGCAGCTCAATGGTAGTGTGCTTGCCTAGCATGTGCAAGGCCCTGGGATCCATCCCCAGCACTGAAAAAATAAAGGAAGGAAGGGGGGTGGGGGAGAGGCATAGTCTGGCACCGGTGGCTCACGCCTGTAATCCTACCTACTCAGGAGGCTGCCAGCTCAGGCAGAAAAATCTGTGAGACTCTGATCTCCAATTAACCACTAGAAAACCGGAAGTGGCGTTGTGGCTCAAGTGGTAGAGTGCTCACTTTGAGCAGAATAGCTGGGGAAAAGCGCGTAGGCCCAGAGTACAAGCCCAGGACCGGCCAAAAAAAAGAAACACACAAACTTGAACATCCGTCACGTTGCCTACCGTGATGCACTGTAGGCTCTTCATTTGCTGGCTTTGCATTCCAGTGTAAGTTTTGTTTTGGGCCACAGGAAATGAATAATCAGTGGCGTATTTTTCAAAGCTTTTCAGAGAAGGGGAGTGTTTGGGAAAAGCAGTTTATTTTATACAGATGGGAGTGATAGACCAAGTAGAAGTATCGGATCTAGATAGGTGGTGTGTGACATAAGCTCTACATTTTTAAATTACCATGTGGTACCCTTTATATGGTACTGTGGCTCCTGTTGGAAAATGTCAGACAGCAAAAAGCAATTGAGCAGGGAAGTTTGTGAGTGGTGAAGGTGATCCCAGGATATCTGTTCACAGTAGAAAGCTGATCTGGGGCATAGTTCAGGGAGTCTTGGCATGGCAGCTTCAGGGGGCAGGAGACAACTTTGCAACCCTATCGGAACAAATAATCCAGGGTCCTAGAGTACCTGGCCTAGCAGAAGGTGTGCTTGTCTTTTTTGTAGGAACTTCCTTAGCTCTTTCTCTCCTTTACCTCTAATATCTTTTATCTGGGGGTGTGCCCCTACCTGGCCATTCAGTCCCTGCCTCTCTTCCGGTGTTCCATCCCAAGTACCTGCATTCCATCCCAAATACCTGTGTTTGTATCTTCCCCTCTTCACTCTCCTTCACTTACCCTACATAAACATTCCTACATTTGGGGAACATTCCTACCTTTACCCTGCTCTTTCTTCCTAGCCTCTGCCATGTCAGCAAGTTTGGTTGTAGTCAGACTAAAGGAGGATACCCTTAGGGAAGGAAGCCAAAGATATAACTTATCTGGACATTTAAAATACTATTTAAGGGCTGGGAAGGTGGCTCAGTGGTAGAGCGCTTGCCTTGCATGCCTGAGGCACCCTGGGTTCGATTCCTCAGCATCACATAAGCAAAAAGAAAAAAGCCGGAAGTGGCGCTGTGGCTCAAGTGGTAGAGTGCTAGCTTTGAGCTGAAGAGCTGAGGGACAGCGCCCAGGCCCAGAGTTCAGGCCCCATGACTAGACTCCTCCGCCCCCCCCCCCTCCCCCCAAATACTATTTAAGAGGCTGCAAATGTGGCTTATTGGTAGAGTGCTTGCCTAGCATGCATGATGCCCTGGGTTCAGATCCTCAGTACCATATAAACAGAAAAAGCCGGAAGTAGTGCTGTGGCTTAAGTGGTAGAGTGCTAACCTTGAGCAAAAGAAGCTCAGGGACAGTGCCCAGGCCCTGAATTCAAGCCCCAGGACTGACAAAAAACAAAACAATAATAATATTATTTAAGCCAGATGCCAGTAGCTCGTGTCTGTATTCCTAGCTACTCAAGAGGCTGAGATCTGAGGATCATAGTTTGAAGCCAGCCCAGGCAGGAAAGTCTGTGAGACTTACCTCAAATTAATCACAGAAGAAGTTGGAAGTAGTACTGTGGCTTAAGTGGTAGAGTGCTACCCTTGAGCAAAAGTAGCTTAGGAACAGTGCTCAGGTCGAGTTTAAGCTCCAGGACTGGCAAAATAAAATACTATTTATTGGCCGGGCAGTGATATCTCATGCCTGTAATCCTAGCTACTCAGGAGGCTGTGAGATCTGAGGGTCATGGTTCAAAGACAGCCCAGGCAAAAAAGTCCCTGTGAGACTCTTATCTCCAATTAACCACTCAAAAACTGGAAGTGGAGCTGTGGATGCAAGTGGTAGGTTGCTAGCCTTGAGCAAAAGAGCTCAGGGACAGTGCCCAGGCCCTGACTTAAGAAATAGTAACCCCTCTGTACAACACCTTAATAATAACAATACAAATTATATTAAAATAAGTTTGGTTCTGGCAGGAATGAAAAAGAGCTCTATATTTATTAATTCCTGTGACTCTTCTCTCATTTATTTCCTCTACACATCTCCAAGGCTAGCAATTTTACACTGGGAGCCACTTTCATTGTGACCTTTGAGTCTCATCATCTTTCATCTCAACGGGCATTTGATGCTATTTCCCACTACTTCCTTTTTATTTATTTTTGTGGGTGTGCTGGCGCTGGGACTTGAACTCAGGACCTAAGTGTTGTCCCTTAGCTTTTTTTTTTTTTTTTTTTTTTTAAGTCCACTCAAGGTTAGTGCTTTACCACTTGCCACAGCAACACTTCCAGCTTTTTTTGTGGTAAATTGGAAGTAAGTATCTCATGGACTTGCCTGCCCATGCTGACTTGAACTATGATCCTCAGAACTCAGCCTCCTGAATAGCTAGGATTACAAGCATCACTCACAAGTTCCTTGTGATGCTCTCTGCCTGTGGCTCTTCCAGTATTAGCTTTGTAATTTTATCCTTCTTTCTCTGTGTCTCACTACTCTTTCTCGATCTTGCTTGCAGGCTCATTTTCTTCAGCTTACTCCTTTAAATGTCAGTGTTCCCACAGGGCTTCTCTGCTCCTTGCATTTTATTCACTTTGCTGCTGCTTCTTTCTCTTCTTACAGCTGTAATTACCACCTAGAAATAGATGACTCCCTAGCTAAAATCTGAGCATTGAACTCACTGATGCAATTGCATACTGGGCATTCCACTCAGACATCTCACAGAGGCCCCTCCCTGCAACTCAAGCTCTCCAGAATCTACTTCATCTTCTTCTCTCTCCAGTGCTCCATGCAGAATTATGGAGCACCGTGCTCCATGTTGTCCCTATCCACCAGGTAACCCAAGCTAAAAAACAGAATCAGACTTGACTTCCCCTATCCTCAGAGTTCTGATTCCCTTACTGTTAGTTCATATTCCTCTGATCCCTCCCAACCCTTAACATGAAGATACTGTCATTTCCTGCTTGGATTGTTGGGAGTAATTTCTCTCATAAAGCAGCCATAATGATCTTTCTCACTTTCCTTGATTAGTTCTAATCAATCTTCCTGTTTAATACCTCTCTGGATACATATTCGTGTGTGTGTGTGTGTGTGTGTGTGTGTGTGTGTGTGTGTGTACACACTACAGGTCCTGTGGCTTGAACTCAGGGTCTGGGTGTTGTCCCTGAGATTTCTTGCTCAAGGCTAGTTCTAGCTTTTGGTGGTTCATTGGAGAGTCTCATCAACTTTCTTGCCTGGGCTGGCTTCAAACTGTGATCTTCAGATCTCAGCTTCCTGAGTACCTAGAATTACACGCACGATCCATCGACACCCCACCTGTCCATTCCTTTAATGTAGCACCTGAAGCCTGTCCTCTCTTTCCAGACTCAGGAACTTCACCTCCTACTTCTTTACCATTTACATGATATCCTCTGCCCTGTTAAACTACTCCTGGCTCTTCAAGAACACCACTCCATCACCCTCCCGTCGCCATGCCTTTATCCATGTAGCCCTCTGGAACATTTGGAGCACTCCCTCCTGTTCTTCACCAGGCTAAGTCCTACTTCCTGAAGTGCATGCCAGGGTTAAGGGGTTTTAGTTCAGACATTTTCTACTACCACCCTGAGTTCCTTGAAGGCAAGCATGGTGGCTATGGGTTCTAGATGTTGAGCGGCTAGCAGGTCCATTAGTAATGTATGTAGAACATCGTAGCATCTCATCAAAAATTTGAAGTGAGCTGGGTGCCAGTGGCTCATGCTTGTAAATTCCTAGCTGCTCAGGAGGCTGAGATCTGAGGATCACAGTTCAAAGCCAGCCCAGGTAGGAAACTCTATAAGACTCTTACCTCCAATAAACCAATAGAAAACCGGAAGTGGTGCTATGGCTCATGCGGTAGAGTGCTTGCCTTGAGCTGAAGAGCGCAGAGAAAGCTCCCAGGCCCAGAGTTCAAGCCCCACAGCAGACAAAAATAAATAAATAAAAATTTTGAAGTGATAAATTTAATGTAGTCAGTTTCAGAACCAAGGTCTAACAGTACAGTATAATCAGTGGGTTCAGATGAAGACACAGGAGACCTAGCTTCTGGTCCCATCTCTACCTCTGATCCTGCTGTCACATGCCAAGCCAGTGGCTTTCTGGCTTTGTTTTTTTCTTTTAATTTTTTGATAATATAAAGGTGGTGTACAAAGGGGATTACAGTTATGTAAGTCAGGTAGAGTACATTTCTTGTAGAACCACATCACCCCTTCTCTCACTCTCTTCTAGTTTTTCCTTCCCATTGGATTTATATTGCAACTATCAGATTTGGAGAACTGAGCCCAGAAGCTGACCTCAGGGAGGATAATTGGGGCTTGTTTTTATCAAGTTGGAGCCACCAGAAAACTGAAAGGGGAACTGTGGTTTCTGCCTTCTGAGAAGGTGGAGAATTAACCTAGCCATGTTCTCAGCTTACAGGAGACCTATGAAGCCAAACGAAACGAATTCCTAGGGGAGCTCCAGAAGAAAGAAGAAGAAATGAGGCAGATGTTTGTTCAGAGAGTCAAAGAAAAAGAAGCAGAGCTCAAAGAGGCAGAGAAAGAGGTAAATGTGAACCTGTGGCCTGGCAGAAAGGAAAGGGAGTTTGCGTGTGTGATATAGAAGAGGATTCAGCCTCAAGAGCAGCCAAGGTGGCGATCCCTGCAGCCACTGGGCAGGAATGGGGTGCAGCTTGTCTGGCAAAGGGACCCAAGACTTTGCCTGCCAGGGCTGACTTTGAACTGTGATCCTCAGATCTCAGCCTCCTGAGTAGCTAGGATTACCGGTGTGAGCCACCAGTGCCTAGCTTTTGTTTATTTCTAAGAGACAAATGTATCAGAAAAACAACCTGATGGGCTGGGAAGGTGGATCAGTGGTAGAGCGTTTGCCTTGCATGCATGAGGCCCTGGGTTCGATTCCTCAGCACCACATAAGCAAAAAGAAAAAAGCCGGAAGTGGCGCTGTGGCTCAAGTGGTAGAGAGTGCTAGCCTTGAGCTGAAGAGCCCAGGCCCAGACTTCAGGCCCCATGAAACAAACACCTGAGTTCCTTCTATGGGCTCCATAGCTTCATAATGATTACATTATAAAGCTTAGGTGCACTTAATATTCATTTTCAATTGTTAATTAAATTTATTAGCTTCAAGTAGTTGTACAGGGGCTTTCATTTTGACTTGTCCTTTTATTCATACAGTGTACCTTGATCAAACCCTTCCATCACTCTACCTCATCTGCAGTCCCACTGCCCAAACCTGTCTCAGCAAGCTTTGTTGTTCCATTTCACCCATGTACATGAAATATTTTGACCATATTCACCCTCCTTAACCCTTTAATGTTCCCCCTTATTAGTACTCACACTCCAGATAGGCCCTGCCTTTTTGTTTTTAAGTATATTACCTTAATTGTCCAAATGGGTTTCACTGTGGCACATCACATGTGCATAGACTATTTTGTTTTTGGCGGGGGGGGGGGGGGGGGGCTTGAACTCTGGGCCTGGGCACTGTCCCTCAGCTCTTCAGCTCAAGGCAAGCATTCTACCACTTGAGCCACAGCTCACTTCCAGTTTTCTGGTGGTTAATTGGAGATATGAATCTCACAGACTTGGCTGCCCAGGTTGGCTGTTAACCATGATCCTCAGATCTCAGCCTCCTGAGTAGCTAGGATTACAGGCATGAACCACTGGTGCCCACCTACTGTGGAGATTCTTTTAGAGAATGCACTGATCCTTGATGACTTGAGGGGTAGAGATTTTTGACATGAGATAATATAGCTACCCACAGTATGGTGCCTTTTGGTGCCATCCTGGCAATCCCTGGCAGAAATATCTCTTGAAGTCCCAGGGGCCTGCAGGGTTACAGCCATCCCAATCCCCACCCACCCTGGGCTCCGCTTGGCTAGGGAGACTGCTCAGAGGAGACTCTAATTTCCATATGCATCCATGACAGCTCCATGAGAAATTTGACCGTCTGAAGAAACTGCACCAGGATGAGAAGAAGAAGCTGGAAGATAAGAAGAAGTCCCTGGATGATGAAGTGAATGCTTTCAAACAGAGAAAGACTGCAGCTGAGCTACTTCAGACCCAGGGTTCCCAGGCTGGGGGCTCACAGACTCTGAAAAGAGACAAAGAGAAGAAGAAGTAAGTATTAGGTGCTTCTGAGGGTGGTAGCTTCTTCCTCCTTCTCTTCCCCTTAAGGAAAGACTTGCGAGGTGAGATGCTTGAGGGCTGATGACCAGGTATGAGCGATGGGCTGTTGTTCCATGAATGTGGATGGCTACAACTAATCTTCTGAGTGCCTGTGACATCTTTGCATTCTTGAGAGTTTGGGGAGCTGAGAATAAGGGAGGGATGTAGTTTTAAGAGGCCCCGTCCTTCTGTTTGCATCACTTATGCAAACTCAAAGCAGATGGTTGAGAGGGGGAAAAAAAGAAAGAAAGGAGGAGGGAAGCCAAGGGAACATGGAAAACCTAGATGCAGAGAAGAAGCAATGAGAAGTGTAGATATAGAAGAGGAACAAAAAGTTGTGGAAGAGCGAGCCACAGAGCATTTCTCATCTCACAGGTTAGACCTGATGTGGCTTACAGGCGGCCTTCCTACTGGTTCTACCATCTAAGGTGCCTCACTTCTTTATGCCTATATGTCAACTCTATCCCTGCCTCTGTTCTCACTAGTGACAGACGTCTGAATTGAGCTGTTGCAGTTGAAGGCTGCAGCCCTGCTCTCATTGCCAACTCTCCTGATTGACTGCTTCGGGGTACTGAGAACTTAGTGGGGAGCTTTTGGATGCCAGTGTTCTTCGTGTGTCTCCTCCCCGCATCCTCAAGCTGAGGGCGTGATTTTAAACCAAATCTGTCTGTCTTGCTACGGCTTTTGCTTACTCAATGAGTCAATAGGCTTGGCCCTCCTTGGGTCTCTGCTTGTTGAAGTTCCCCATTCTTCATCTCAGAGCCAGAGAAGAACAAAGTGTTTTCTGGAGAGACCTAGCTAGTCGCAAGGAATCAGCAAACTGCACCCTTGCGCTCTACAACTCCAGAAGCTCCCACATAGACTTTTAGCAGTGTCCTTCCTAAAGGGTTCTTAGGATCCAAAGATGGCTATGGTTGTTCCTTTTTAGTTTTAGCCACTTGTTCCTACATTCAACTTTTGAATACTTGCTGTAAGAAGCAACATCTCCCTTTCCTGAACCTAGTGTGTCATGTGGGAATAATACCCATGCCTTTGTACAGTTGTGAACTGTTTTGTATTTGAGTTTACAAGCTAGCTATTCACATGTAGTTTGGAAATTTTCACTAAGTGGTCCATAGATTTTTTTTGGGGTGGGGGGTGGTCGTGTATGTGTGTGTGCTGGTCTTGGGATTTGAACTCAGGACATAAGCACTCTCCTTGAACTTCTTTTGCTCAAAGCTAGTGCTGTGCCATTCTAGCCACAGTTCCACTTTTGGCCTTTTTGATAGTTTAGTGAAGATAGGCATCTCACAGACTTTCGTACCCTGGCTGACTTTGAACCCAGATCCTCAGCCCTCAGCCTCCTGAGTAGCTAGGATTATGGATGTGAGCCATCAACAGGCTCAGAGATTTTTTTTTCTGGTCCTGGATCTTGAACTCAGGGCTTGGGCATTGTCCCTAAGCCTCTCTGTGCTCAAGGCTAGCGCTCTACTACTTGAACCACACAGTGCCACTTCCAGCTTTTTTCTGTTTATGCGGTACTGAGGAATCAAATCCAAGTTTCATGCATGCTGAGCAAGCACACTACCACTAAGCCACATTTCCAGCCCCAGAGGCTTTTTTTTTTTTTGGGTCCGGTCGTGGGGCCTGAACTCTGGGCCTGGGCACTGTCCCTCAGCTCTTCAGCTCAAGGCTAGCGCTCTACCACTTGAGCCACAGCGCCACTTCGGCTTTTTTTTCTTTTTGCTTATGTGGTGCTGAGGAATCGAACCCAGGGCCTCGAGCATGCAAGGCAAGCTCTCTACCACTGAGCCACCTTCCCAGCCCCCCAGATTTTTTTAATCACTGAAACTTAAAACTTGATGCCAAAATTCACTAATTAATTTTTTTGTATTATCTGATAACATTCCATTATTCAGAAGTAAGTCTCTTGGGACACACTATATGTGTTGGTATATTCATTGTACCAGCAGGAATAGATTCCTTTTTTTAAAAGTAAGTTTTTTATTGTAAAAATACTAGATTGCTTCTTTTATTTATGGATTTTTGTTGTTGTTGTGGGGCTTGAACACAGGGTATGATTGTTGTCCTTTAGCTCTTCTGCTCAAGGCTAGTACTCTACCACTTTGAGCCATGGCTCCACTTCTAGTTTTCTAGTGGTTAACTGGACTCTTGTAAGTCTTATGGACTTTTCTGCCTAGGCTGGCCTTGAACCTTCCTCCTCATCAGCCTTCTGAGTGGCTAGGATTACAAGCATGAGCCACTGGCGTCTGGCTTGTTTATGTATTTTTGTTTTTTACTCACTGCAGTGCTGAGGGTGATGGGACCAAGGGCTTTGTGCACGCTAGGCAGTCACTTTACCACTGAGCCCCCGATTCCTTTTTTCCTCCCTCTTTCTTTCCTTTTCTTTCTTTCTTCCTTCCTTCCTTTCTTTCTTTCTCTTTTTCTTTTTCTCTCTGTCTTTCTTTTTTCTTTTTCTTTCTCTTTCTTCCTTCCTTCCTTCCTTTCTTTCTTTCTTTCTTTCTTTCTTTCTTCCTTCCTCCCTCTCTCTTCCTTCCTTCCTTCTTTTTTTCCTCCTTCCTTCTTTCTTTCCTTTCTTTTTCTTCCTTCCTTCTTTCCTCCTTCCTTCCTTCTTTCTTCTTTCTCCTTCCTTCCTTCCTTCCTTCCTTCCTCCCTCCATCCCTCCTCTCCTTCTCTCTCTCCTCTTTCTTTCCCTTCCTTCCTTCCTTCCTTCCTTCCTTCCTTCCTTCCTTCCTTCCTTCCTTCCTTCCTTCCTTCCTTCCTTTCTTTCTTTCTTTCTTTCTTTCTTTCCATCCAGTACTAGGGCTTGAACTCACAGCTTGGGTGCTGCTGTCCCTGAGCTTTGTTGCTCAAGGGTAGCACTCTGCTACTTGAGCCACAACTCTACTTCTGCCCTTTGGGTGGTTAATTGAAGATAGAAGTCTCAGGGATTTTCTTGCCTAGGCTGGGGGCTGGCTTCAACTATCTTCACATCTCAGCCTCCTGAGGAGCTAGTATTACAGGTATAAAGCCACCAGTGCCTGGCTAGATTTGTTTGTTTTTTGCCAGTCCTGGGGCTTGAACTCAGGGCCTAGTCTCTGTACCCGAGCTTCTTTTGCTCAAGGCTAGTGCCCTACCACTAGAGCCACAGTGCCACTTCTGGCTTTTTCTGTTTATGTGGTATTGATGAATCAAGACCAAGGCTTCATGCATGCTACGCAAGTACTCTATCACTTAAGCCACATTCCCAGCCCTAGATTCTGATTATTTATTTATTTATTTAGGTATTTATTTATTTTTGTCAGTCATGGGGCTTGAACTCTGGGCCTGGGCTTTGTCCCTGCACTCTTCAGCTCAAGGCGAGTACTCTACCACTTGAGCCACAGCACTAATTCTGGTTTTCTGGTGGTTAATTGGGAATAAGAGTCTAACGGACTTTCCTGCCCAAGCTGGCTTTGAACTGCGGTCCTCAGATTTCAGCCTCCTGAGTAGCTAGGATTACAGGCATGAGCCACCAGCACCCAGCTAGATTCTGATTTTTAAGATGAGGAAAATTAAAATTTATCTTTCAGTTCTAACCTGCTGCCTTCTTAGTCCCATAGCTTTGGTTAACTCACTCTACAGGTTCATAGCCTGCTTGTAGGACTCAAGAGATTACATGGTTCATTCAGACCGCACCACACCAAGCCATAAATATTCCCTGTTCAAGATGTTCAATGAAAGCTTCCTCTCAGATCAGGCTTTCCATTCGTGGCTCCAAATTCACTCATTTCCTTCCACAGCAGACGGAAGACTCCATGTAAGAGAAAGACATCTTTCAACAGTCTTCAGACATATTCGTATGGGCAACAGTGCCCTTTTCCAGTTCCAAGATGCCCTTGCCAGAATGTAGCATCTCCTCTTAGCAATAAAGGCCTGCCACAATAGCTTTCTTCTTCCATCCTTCTAGATTTGTCAGAGGCTCCAGGTGTAGGCTCCTCCTCCAATTCCATGAATAATTAGTTAACTTCTAGAGCACCCAATTCAACTTATGCTCCTCTGCTCTCAAAGTGATGCTGCTGGTGGTGGGATTTGGCGGGTAAAAATGGTGATAGTAGCATTTCTTTTTTAAGAGGGATGGTGGTTGGATCTAATCAAGTCTGCATTTCCTTCAGCTGCCGTTAAGGAGACTCAGAAAGAGCAGCAGAGTTCTCAAGGGTCTCTACTAATTTACCTTTTCTTCCCTCCCAACTCCTCCTAATCTCTCTTGGCCCCCTAACTCTTCATTATTTATTTGAACTCATAGTCTTTCATTTCTCCTAATGTTCACTCCATCTTCATCAGTTCTTACTGTTTTACAGTTAACTCTGCTGTTTGCTGCATGCTGCATGAGACCCAAGGTCCTGGTAAGCTTTATTAACTTGAAATAGAACTAGCAGTGGCTTCTAGAGGATTATCTCCCCAACATCTGCCCCTTCCCACACACATGTAATGATAAAATAAGGCTGCTTCCTTAGATTAGCTGATTTCTTCTTGTAACTTGGAATATGAAGAAGTAGGGCTGGGAATGTAGCTCAGTGGTAGAGTGCTTACCTTGCATGCATGAGGGCCCGGGTTTGATTCCTCAGCACCACAGAAACAGAAACAGCTGGAAGTAGCGCTGTGGCTCAAGTGGTAGAGTGCTAGCCTTGAGCTGAAGAGCTGAGGGACAGCGCCCAGGCCCAGAGTAAAAGAAAAAAAAAGTAGCCTGGTGTGTCTTCAGGTGTGTACAATAGAATTGTGGTCTTTTTTGATGGAACAGCTGGGTAGCATAGTTGGGTCCAGGTGAGCAATATTTGAGATTTGAATTTAGGATTATTTTTTGTTGTTTGTTTTTTCCTTAAGGAGTCATGAACTACATTGTAAAACGTAGTTTTTCCAGAAGTTATTTTAGGAATCATAGGTAATAAAGTCATTACTTTTCAGAATAAAAAGTGCCAGTGGAAGAAAGTTTG